CATGCTAAAAAACAACAACAACTTACACATAGTAAGAAATGGTTATAAAAAACTGAAATAAGCTAAACAAGTAATAGGAAAGAGGAGAAATAAAAAGCGATACTTATCCTTTGCCGGTATCCCTGCCCACTGCAGTCAGGCCAGCCTCCACCCCGAAAAACACGGGACAATTTGTTCAAAAATTACAGTAAAAAGACATTAAATGTTATGAAAGATTTCTATTTCAAATAAATGTTGTTCTTTTGAACTTTTTATTCATCAAAGAATCCGGAATATTTCTTGACTGACAAATCAGCATGTTAGAATGATTTCTGAAGGATCATGTGACACTGAGGTAATGCAGTAATTGTACTGAGTAATACAGTAGGTATGGAAAAGAATCACCACCTTTAAAATAATCGCATTTTGTTGCTTTGTAGACGGACACAGTTTTTGTTTTATCCAGCTGTATTTACTCAGTGCAACTTATAACATCCAAGTGAATGATATAATACAAACATGCGAGAAAAAAGAAATCACAGAGTTGGAAAAAGGACCACCCCCTTGTGTCAGTATTTTGTTGATCCTTTTGATTTAATTACAGCCTTTAGTCTGTTGGGATGTCTCTCTACTAACTTTGTACATCTAGACTTTGCAATATTTGCAGAACTGCTCAAGCTCAGTTAAATTTGATGGTGAGAATTTGTGGACTGCAGTCTTAAAGTCATTCCACAGATTTTCAGTGGGGTTTAAGTCTAGGCTCTGACTAGGCCATGCAAGGACATTCACCTTTTTCCCCTTCAACCACAGTGTGCTCCGTTTTGTTGTGTGCTTTGGGTCATTGTCATGTTGGAAAGTAAACCTTCCCATTGACAACTTTCTTGCAAGAATTTGATGGTATTTTGCCCAATCCATTTTTCCTTCCATCCTGACACACCCATACCAATACACCCATAACAGGATATTACCACCTCCGTGCTTCACTGTAGGAATGCGGTTATTTGGATGGTGAGCTGTATTGGATTTCCAGCAGACATATGCTTGGGTGTTGAGGCCAAATAATACAATTTTAGTCTCATCTGCCTCAGAATCTTCAAGTTGCATTTTGGCAAAACTCAGTCGTGACTGCATGTGGCCTTTGAAGCTGAAGCGCAGTGGACCAGAGCCTGGTAGCCTGAACCTTTGACCCAGCCGCAGGTGTTGATTATACAGCCACCCACACTAGCCTTGCTTCAGCGCTTCAGGAGTGACTTTTTCTTGCAACCCTCCCATATAAGCCACTTTTGTGGAGAATTTGTGATATTGTCGCATGCACACAATGACCACTCTGTCATAAATTCCTGCAACCGCTTCAGAGTTGCTGTAGGCCTCTTGATAGCCTCTCCGAGTAGTTTCCTCCTGACTCTTTCATCCAGTTTGGAGCAACGTCCTGATACAGGGAGGTACCGAACACCGAACCGAACACCTTCCACTTCTTAATAATAGACTTCACTGTGCTTCTAGGCGTTGATAAAGCCTTTACATTTTTTTTGTATCCATCTCCTGACTTGTGCCAGTCCACAACTTTATCCCGGAGATCTTTTGACAGTGCCTTGCCACCCATAGTTGATTGTTTGCTTCAGTTGCACTACCAAGGACTGAAATGCTCCAGGAAAGCTCTTTTCATGCTGAGCTAATCAACAGAACCACAGCTGATCACAGTTGAAAGTCAAATGGCTTTGAGAAGGTGATTAGCTACACCTGATTGAGTGTACACGTCATTTAGGAGGGGGTGATCCTTTTTCCAACTCCTTGATTCTGTTTTGTTATCTTTTTTTTCTGACATGTTGGTATTATATCATTCACTTGGATGTTATAAGTTGCACTGAGTAAATACAGCTGGATAAAACAAAAACTGTGCCAGTCTTCAAAGCAAATTAATGTGATTATTAGGGATGCACGATATATCGGCCACCATATCGGTATTGGCCGATAAATGCTCAATTTTTATGTTATCGGTATCGGCCTGATAAGAAAATTTGTCCGATATCTTAAATATTTTAAAGGGGTGATTCTTTTCTTGACCCACTGTAACTGGTAAAAATTCGGCTTTGCCATGACAAGAATACATTAAGTTTTAAAACAGAAAAAGTTATTTTAAATTGTAATCAAATTTCACAGTATTACTAGTATAATATAAATGCAGCCATAATGAGTGTAAGATACTTTCTTAAACATTAAAAAATCTTACCAACCCCTTATGATCTTTTGAATAGTAGTGTATATTTAACGTAACAAACAAATGTTTTTGACATCTCTGTGGTTAATGATGGTTAAATACATTTTGTTTTCGTAGGTAATGGTTGTCGGACCAACTGATGTGGGAAAGTCAACAGTATGTCGAGTGTTGCTGAACTATGCTGTGCGACTGGGACGAAGACCTACACTTGTAGAACTGGATGTCGGTCAGAGCAGTGTAAGTAAATGAAGCCTGAACGATCAGTGCAACATCTGCTGAACATTACAGGCTTGTAAGAAATCAAGCATTATATGTGTGTTTAACTGTTATTGTCCGTAGGTCTCTGTGCCTGGAACTATGTCAGCTCTGTGCATTGAGCGTCCTGCTGATGTAGAAGAAGGCTTCTCTGTGCAGGCTCCACTTGTCTTTCACTTTGGCTCTACCACACCAGGAACAAACATCAAACTTTACAACAAGGTAATGACAAAATTCCACCTAAGGGAGTGTTGTCTTTACACTTCAGTGTTATACTGAGCTTTGGCCCGTAAATTATTAGAATAGATTGAGCTTGGCCCTAAACAGAAAGTACCAAACTATCCTGGCACTGTTTAATCAATAATAGCAAGGAGAAGATGCATTAATCTTTCCCTTAATGCAACTATAAAGTCTTGTTCTTCTGCAATTGTTAATACAAAAACAATAAAGTCAATTTCTGTAGCAGCAACTGAAGGAGAAGTAGTACTCACCAGTTGCATGATGACATGACAAGAATGAATCATCTTTTGCATGTTTAAAATCATTGCACAGCAACAACAGTACTGGTATTACTAGAATGAAAGTGTTTACTTCACTATCATATATGTATGTTCCTGGTTCTTGGTCCATCAATGCATGTTATTCCAAATTTGAAAATGTATGTCTTATTGTCTTTTGTTTTTAAATGAATAGTATGTACCTACTGTATTCAATATTTCATACTGCTTTATATAATATTAGCAGGTTAAATGTTACTCTTTTTTTTTTTTTGGTCAAACCTGCAATATGTTGGGCTGCTTAAAGAAAAAATATTCCTTCCCTACAGTCAAATACTGTCAGATTATAATACACAACCATTCAAACGTTTGGAGTCAGTACAATTTTTTTAAATTTTTTTTTTTAGAAATTAATACTTTTATTCAGCAAGGATTCATTAAATTGATCAAAACTGACACTAAAGATGTATACTGTTGCAAAAAACTAAAAATATTTCAAATAAAAGTTATTTTGAACTTTCAATTCAGAGAATCCAGGGGGGAAAAAAACGTTTTCAATGTTGATAATAATAATAAATGTTTCTTGAGCACTAAATTATCATATTAGAATGATTTCTGAAACATCATGTGACACTGAAGACATCACATGAATAAATATTTTATTGATAGTAATTTTAAAGTGTAATAATATTTCACTGCTTTTGTTTTTACTGTATTTTTGAACGAATATGCAGCCTTGGTGAGCTTAAGAGACTTCTTTCAAAAATATTACTGACCCCAAACTTTTGAACAGTAGTGTATGCCAGATTACAGCTGTAACATGGGTTGTGAATGCCGTTTCATGTTGACTTTAAGTTGATGCAGTATGCATCATACAGACATATTAATAAAATGTGTTTGAATGAGTCTCTTTTTTTCTCTTTGGGTGTGTAGCTGACTTCAAGCCTTGCAGAAGTATTTTCCCAGCGCTGTGAGGTGAACCGCAAGGCTAGTGTGGGTGGCTGTATAATCAACACCTGCGGCTGGGTCAAAGGTTCAGGCTACCAGGCTCTGGTCCACTGCGCTTCAGCTTTCCAGGTGGATGTTGTTATAGTCCTGGACCAGGAGCGTCTCTATAATGAGCTTAAACGTGACCTGCCACACTTTGTACGTGTCGTCCTTCTGCCAAAGTCCGGCGGCGTGGTGGAGCGCTCTAAGGACTGCCGACGAGAGACGCGGGATGAAAAGATCCGGGAATACTTCTACGGCTTTCGTGCAACTTCCTTTTACCCTCATGCCTTTGATGTGCGTTTTTCAGAAGTGCGTATTTACAAGATCGGTGCACCCTCAATTCCAGACTCCTGTCTCCCTCTGGGTATGTCCCAGGACGACACCCAGCTCAAACTCGTCCCAGTCAGCCCTGGCAGGGATTTAACCCACCATGTGCTGAGTGTGAGTTCGGTGGATGATGATGCCGAGGTGGGTGCGGGACAGAGCAGAGGGATTCTAGAGAGTCCCGTGTGTGGCTTCATAGTTGTGACAGCGGTGGACACACAAGCTCAGGTGATGACGGTACTCTCACCAGCACCCAGACCACTGCCGCGACACACTCTGCTCATCATGGACATTCGTTTTATCGACCTTAAATGAAGCATATAAGTCTAGCAGAGATCTCCACTCAAAAGGGACACTGTCTTATCACATCTGTTAAGTTCTTACAAAATATTTATAGCTCTGTTTAATTTTCAAAGGGCAAATTTTAATGATTTTGTACATAAGAAAAAAAACTTCTGTATTTTTTCTTTAAATAAATTCAATTGCAATTTCATCCTTCTAAACAAACAATAAAACAAACCAAAACCAGTTTGACTACATGTTATTCTGCATGCCTTTTTTCAATGAAATTACATCCTTTGAGCAAACTAATTGAGCAAATATTAGTTTGACATATCTATTGTGTAGACAAAAATCTCTTCCGGACCTTTTCCTGCATGTCCTATACAGGTGTCTTTAAATGATGCTGGGGCCGAAGAAGATGATGATGCCTTGTTTAGGGTTTTATTTTTGGCTTATCAGACTCTGTATCGGATAAACGACTTGGGGAGTTTTCAGCCCCGGGCGTACACAGATCAAAAGCCTTTTCCCGGGCCGTAGAAAGACTGAGATTAAGGGATAGAGAGAGCTGAAGCTCCTCTCCCATCAGATAATACCGCTGCCCCGGGCCGGGATGCAGAAGAGAAACCGAGTCTCCAAATCACAGGACGTGTGAATAAACGCCAGCCATTTAAAGTACGTAAACATTCGGGATCCGACACTTCGTGAGTATATTCGAGTGGATGACATTCATAATAGATGTGTTGTTTAATTAAAAATGTGTGGGCAGGTCGCTGTTTGCTTCTGATCTGTTTCGACATCGGATCGATATCGCCGCATTTGAGCTTCTTTCAGTGTTGGCTCTAACAACTGGAGTCCGAGGCTTCACTCTGAGGCCTAGTTAAACAAAGCAAAACACGAAGCGAAAAGTTAAATGATCGTATTTTGGTGCGGTTTATAAGTTAATTGTGCTAATATTTGATCAATATGTATTTTTCTTGTATTTTGTAATCCAAACGGCCTTGTTTTACTGTGTAAGGTAGTATTATGGCGGGCGATATTATTTGCTGGGATGGTAAGCTAACCAAAAACGGGACACAGCCGTAGTGTTTTTGACTCGGATGTTGCTTTTTTTGTGTGTGAAATTGTTTCTGCTTTGAAATTGAATTAACATCTGGACTCAATTAACCCGTTTGGTTTATGATTTTGCTGTAGTGAATGACTGTGTCACCTAATGAGTTGCCTACCTAGACAGCATTTTTGGGCAATATAGGTCTATTCAGATGTGTGCAATCCACATATGATGCCCTGAAATGCGTTCTATGTAGATAGGCAGCTTACAAGGCTTTTAAATATAGATTTATTCTTACTCAGAATGCACTGCATTCATCTAACCTTATATAGTAAACTGGAGTTGACTTATAAACATCACAGCTAGCCTTTTTTGACAAAAAAAACTCAATTTTGTAAAACTATTAAATTGTTAAAATGACTATTGTGGGTGAGTGACATCCAAACATAATTTTCCAGTTTGCTATTGATTATGTGGTACAATCAGATATCATCTGACATCCATCATTCTTTTCATTATTGATTCAAAGTTGATGGTAAGATATGATTGAACGTTTATGAATGAATCAAATATATTTCCCATGTGAAGTGAACTGGTTTTCAGGTGGTACTGTGAATGAAGAGAGCAGGAGTAGCTGCAAGAAAAGAAGATTATGAGTGGTGTAATAAGGCTTGTGTATGCGAGACTCAAGGTCACTGCGTGGTCAGTGTGACAGTAAACCCAAGGAGAAAAGGGATTGTAAAGGGGGGATGGGGTTGAATTGTATACAGAAAACCTGGTGGAGAAAACCGTAAAAAAGAGGCACACCCTTTCCTGGTGATTCAGAAGTTGTGACACGGGGCAACAAAAGTGTGATCAGGTTTCAACACGGTGTGTGTGTACACAGATGTAGGTTTCACAATTCATTGCTTTATGTTCCGTCTTGTTCATGTGATCATTTGTATGATATTGGCTGCTTGGAACCGGTATGGAGAACTTCAAGAATGTGTAAGATCAGGTCATGAGTTCATATCTACGCGTTTAATTATCTTCTCTTCTTATAGATGCCGCTCAGGCCTGTTAAGGAATCAGAAAGGAGGAGGGCGGCATTTTAGACTCATCAATCTCATCCTTGTGAGGAAGAAGGGCCTCATGGGACACTATGCAGGGTTAAAATGGTTTTGCACGCTCATGTGTTCTCACAACCTGGAGTTATCAACCCCGAACGCATACGGATCGTGTGCAGTTGCGATGGTAGACACGCACTCTGGTGTGGGCGTACATTTTTTGCATATGGATTGCATCTGAAAAGCAACTTATCATGTGGATATCTGCACTTACAAGATTCATGTGACCTGGCAAACCGTGTTTTTCTGCTCACTTTTCGGCCAGTTTGTCTCTCTTCAAAGTGTGAGCATAGATCACCTCAGAGAGGAGAATGAGCTCTCATTTATGGCACAAGACATCAAGAGCTCTGTTTCATGATTTGTACTCGTAATTACGGTCTTTTCTTAGACGGACTGTTCCAGAGGGAAATCCAGACTCCATTGAGATTATAGAAAGAAAGTCATTTTTTTTGTCTTGTAGTTTCTTATTTTTCCCTCATACTTTTTGTTTCACTGTATACCTCCCATCAAAACTATTTTTTTCCTTTCTGTAGTCTGACGTCATTCTCACATGCACTCATCTGCTATGATGCTTTGAGAGATATGAGATTGGTCTCTGAGCGAGTACTGTATGAATGCCTGAACTCAAATAGCTGCTTCCTTTTGCTGCTGCTCTTTTTGGTGTAACACGGGGCTTACCAGAGATTTGCACTAAAAGAGCATTGCTGTCACTTGATTTTCCTTTTATTGACCAAATCTTGTTACATTCAAGCCATATGAACTTATTTTTGATGAAACTAGAGCTATTTTTGTATTACAGTAAAGTCATAGAACTATTGCATATTATGTGTATATGAATTTAGTCTATTTTTTATGTATCAACACAGACGTATACAAAAAGACTATTTTACGTTAACGTTTGTTTTTGGAAAGAAATGCACCTTGATTTATGTTGAGAACATAATCTATTTCACTAAATTTATTGTTATGGCCATGGCTACACACCATCCTCACTCAGGTGGGAGACGAGTTTCCTTCGCTCTCTGACGCCTCCCCCTGTTCCCTCGGTTTTTTTACATCTCCAAATGCCTGTGGGTCTTAGTGTGGGTGGGGCTCTCGGAGACCCCTCCCCATTCCGCCCCAGTCGTTATGTGCCTGTGTCCGCAGCAACCGCCTTCCTTGTGGGGGCCACGACACTGTTTCTCTGTTTTACGTGAGTAGAACCTAAATACATTAATTTAGAGATTCAATGTATCAGTATTTCTGTAAGTGTAATGAGAGGCATCTCTGTGCAGGTGTCCCTGGCTCTCAGAGCAGTTCTCCTCCTCCATTTTACTCTATAATGTTGTGATCTTCCTCTTCACACTGGCCAATTTCTGTATGGCCACATTCATGGACCCTGGCATTTTTTCTAGAGGTACATACTTACAAATGTACACTACTGTTCAAAAGTTTGGAGTCAGGAAAATCTTTAGCCAGGATGAATTAAATTGATCAGAAGTGACAGAAAAGCCATTTATAATGTTACTAAAGATTTCTATTTCATATAAATGCTGTTCTTCCAACTCTCTTATTATTTAAGATATTTATTAAGAATATTGAAAAATGTAGCATGGTTTACAGAGAAATATTAAGCAGCACAACTGTTTTCAACACTGAAAATAATTAGAAATGTTTCTTGGGCAGCAAATCAGCATATTGATTTCTGAAGGATCATGTGACACTGAAGAATTCAACTTTACCATCTCAAATACATTACATTAAAAAAACGTATTTTAACAGTTACGGTTATATACAGGTATTACTGTATTTTTGATCAAATAAATGCATCCATGATGCGCGTTTTAAAGAGATTTATTTTGAAAACATTACAAGTTTTACTGACCCTAAACCTTTGATCAGTAGTGTATTTTACAATTCAAATTTTTTCCACATATAAAAATATTAATTAAAGTAAACATATTTCTGTCATGACAACTCTCGGAGGGATTGGCATGGTAATGTACATACATGACAATGTTCATGTATTTCATGTTCAACTGCTACGGAAAGCACTAGTCATATTTGAATGTTGAGCAGCGAGCTCATTGGCTACCGATGCAGGAGAGAACCAATCAGCTGTGCCATGTGATAATGATCATTAGTCATTAGGTCAGATTGAGTTAGACCTATCGGACTGCGCCATCTAGAGTTTCATGCCAGAACTCTGTATTACTTTAACGTGACACGTACAGTATCTCACAGAAGTGAGTACACCCCTCACATTTTTGTAAATATTTTATTATATCTTTTCATGTGACAACACTGAAGAAATGACACTTTGCTACAATGTAAAGTAGTGAGTGTACAGCTTGTATAACAGTGTAAATTTGCTGTCCCCTCAAAATAACTGAACGCACAGCCATTAATGTCTAAACCGCTGGCCACAAAAGTGAGTACACCCCTAAGTGAAAATGTCCAAATTGGGCCCAAAGTGTCAATATTTTGTGCGCCCACCATTATTTTCCAGCACTGCCTTAACCCTCTTGGGCATGGAGTTCACCAGAGCTTCACAGGTTGCCACTGGAGTCCTCTTCCACTCCTCCATGACGACATCACGGAGCTGGTGGATGTAAGAGACCTTGTGCTCCTCCACCTTCCGTTTGAGGATGCCCCACAGATACTCAATAGGGTTTAGGTCTGGATACATGCTTGGCCAATCCTTGAAAAATGTAGCATGGTTTACAGAGAAATATTAAGCAGCACAACTGTTTTCAACACTGAAAATAATTAGAAATGTTTCTTGGGCAGCAAATCAGCATATTGATTTCTGAAGGATCATGTGACACTGAAGAATTCAACTTTACCATCTCAAATACATTACATTAAAAAAACTTATTTTAACAGTTACGGTTATATACAGGTATTACTGTATTTTTGATCAAATAAATGCATCCATGATGCGCGTTTTAAAGAGATTTATTTTGAAAACATTACAAGTTTTACTGACCCTAAACCTTTGATCAGTAGTGTATTTTACAATTCAAATAAATTTTTTCCACATATAAAAATATGAATTAAAGTAAACATATTTCTGTCATGACAACTCTCGGAGGGATTGGCATGGGAATGTACATACATGACAATGTTCATGTATTTCATGTTCAACTGCTACGGAAAGCACTAGTCATATTTGAATGTTGAGCAGCGAGCTCATTGGCTACCGATGCAGGAGAGAACCAATCAGCTGTGCCATGTGATAATGATCATTAGTCATTAGGTCAGATTGAGTTAGACCTATCGGACTGCGCCATTTAGAGTTTCATGCCAGAACTCTGTATTACTTTAACGTGACACGTACAGTATCTCACAGAAGTGAGTACACCCCTCACATTTTTGTAAATATTTTATTATATCTTTTCATGTGACAACACTGAAGAAATGACACTTTGCTACAATGTAAAGTAGTGAGTGTACAGCTTGTATAACGGCATATGGTCTGAGCACTGACAGGCTAACCCCCCAGCCCTTCAACCTCTGCAGCAATGCTGGCAGCACTCATATGTCTATTTCCCAAACACAACCTCTGGATATGACGCCGAGCACGTGCGCTCAACTTCTTTGGTCGACCATGGCGAGGCCTGTTCTGAGTGGAACCTGTCCTGTTAAACCGCTGTATGGTCTTGGCCACCGTGCTGCGGCTCAGTATCAGGGTCTTGGCAATCTTCTTATAGCCTACGCCATCTTTATGTAGAGCAACAATTCTTTTTTTCAGATCCTCAGAGAGTTCTATGCCATGAGGTGCCATGTTGAACTTCCAGTGACCAGTATGAGAGTGAGAGTGATAACACCAAATTTAACACACCTGCTCCCCATTCACACCTGAGACCTTGTAACACTAATGAGTCACATGACACAGGGGAGAGAAAATTACTAATTGGGCCCAATTTGGACATTTTCACTTAGGAATGTACTCACTTTTGTGGCCAGCGGTTTAGACATTAATGGCTGTGTGTTGAGTTATTTTGAGGGGACAGCAAATTCACACTGTTATACAAGCTGTCCACTCACTAATTTACATTGTAGCAAAGTGTAATTTTTTCAGTGTTGTCACATGAAAAGATATAATAAAATATTTACAAAAATGTGAGGGGTGTACTCACTTCTGTGAGATACTGTATAATGTAAAAGAAACCTTAGTGATCCTCAAATTAGGCTTAATTTTTTAATGCAAAATATACTTGACTTATATTTTCGTGTTGATTTTGTGTTGAAGTATGATCTGGACATTTCTTAACCGTTTTCATGAGATTGTATGTTTTGTAGCTGAAGAAGATGAGGATAAAGAGGATGATTTCCGGGCTCCGCTTTATAAGACGGTGGAGGTGAGGGGCATTCAGGTGCGGATGAAGTGGTGCTCCACATGTCGCTTTTACAGACCGCCGCGCTGTTCACATTGCTCTGTGTGTGACAACTGTGTGGAGGTACACAGACATTCATCATAGTTTCACACTAAACAAAGTCTTCAGTGTTTGATTTAAAGGGGTCATATGATGCGATTTCAAGTTTTCCTTTCTCTTTGGAGTGTTACAAGCTGATTGTGCATAGATAAGATCCCTGAAGTTGCAAAGACTAAAGTCTCAAAACCAAAGAGATATTCTTTATCAAAGTTAAGACTCTGCCACGCCCCCC